ATGACAGGTTTCTTCACAGGAACCAGAGAAAACCTCACACTACAAATGGGATCCATTACATTTAAGCTGGAAGAGTCCTGTTCACCTCAGCATGTTCAAAGATCCAGAGGCTGTCATTTCTAATGGTTAACTTCCATGTTTCCCCACCACTTCAGTATTTTCCCCTTCTTATCAGGGGAAAAATATGTTACAAAAGAATAGATGGAAGCAACAGAATGACTGCACAATGTCATGTGAGCATTAGCACTTGAAGCCCTCTGTCTGAAAGTACTCCAGATGCCTCTGTAATCCCTGCTTTCCACTGGGATGTTTTTGGAGTTATCCGTGGTGGAATACATGTGATCTTTGGTCCCTCAAGACCTATGAAGTGCTGCCAGGCTCAAATTGGGAACCCATCAATCCAATATTAGAGATGCTGCCAGAAGAGGCTTTTGGTGTATCTGCCTCATTCATCAAACTTTAGGAGGGGTCCAGCTGTCACCATCCTGAATGCAAGTGGTTCCTGCACCCTTCAAATCTGGGAAGAGGCAAAAAAAATCTTATCATTTTACTAAACAAATTTATTTATCACATGTGTATGCCCTCCCATAGCCAAAGGCTCTCTGGGTGGCTCACAGTGCAAATGGGATTGTGAGCAACTATGAAATACCAAGAGGGTCAAGCTGGCTAATAGCAAATTACTTGTGATCCTTTGGGGGCTCGGCAGCATATTTATTTATTTATTTATTTATTTTATTTATTAAAACATTTTTATGCCGCCCCATTCGCCGAAGCCTCGGGGCGGCTTACAACAAAAAATTAAAATAACATTTTAAAATATATACAATAAAATACAAATATATAATATAAAACATACAATATAAAACAAGCCGCCCTGGCCAAATAAAATTCAATAATACTAACATTTAAAATACTGCTTAAATAAAAAGGTCTTCGCCTGGCGCCGAAAAACAAATAACGACAGCGCCAGGCGGACCTCTCTGGGGAGCGCATTCCATAACTTAGGCGCCACCGCAGAGAAAGCCCTCCTCCGAGTAACCACCCTCCTAACTTCTTCCATGGAGGGCTCCCGGAGAAGGGCCTCTCCCGCCGATCTCAGGGGGCGGCTGGGCATATAAGGATGTAAGCGCTCCTTCAGGTAACCAGGACCCAAGCCGTTTAGGGCTTTATAGGTCATTACCAACACCTTGAATTGGGCCCGGACTTCAATGGGAAGCCAGTGAAGCTGACAGAGAACTGGAGTCATGTGAACATAACGCCCAGTCCCCGTCAGCAGCCTGGCAGCTCTATTTTGGACCAACTGAAGTATCCGGACCGTCTTCAAGGGTAGCCCCACGTAGAGCGCGTTACAGAAGTCCAGACGGGAAGTCACCAACGCATGTGTCACTGTCGCAAGGCAGTCATTCTCCAGATAGGGGCGCAGCTGATGAATCAGCCGAAGCTGGAGGAAAGCGCTCCTCGCCACTGCTGTTACCTGAGCTTCCAGTGAAAGCTCCCGGTCGAGGAGCACTCCCAAGCTGCAGACCTTGTCCCTAAGAGGGAGTGCAACCCCGTTCAGGACAAGGTTCAATTCACCCTCTCCGAAGCCCGATCCGCCAACCAACAGGACCTCCGTCTTGTCTGGATTGAGATTCAGTTTATTGGCCCTCATCCAGCCCATTACCTCGGCCAGGCCCCGGTTCAGCACAGACACTGCCTCACCTGGATTGGTGGAAAAGGAAAAAGGAAAAATTTGGAAGTTATGTTATTCTTATTTTCCTCCATTTTCTGCAAATGTGGTGGGGGTGTGGCCCGTAGAGGCCTGAGAGCAAAAATGAACCCCAGACCTCCCAAAAAGGTCTACAGTTTTACACACTGTATTGCTGCACTTCCTCACTTTCACCACTGCCCTGGCTGTCTGGAAAGCTGGGAGGATAAAGGAACTGGCTGGAGTGATTCCAGTGTGCCTTTCCAGACAACCGGCACAGCTGCCTTCTGTTTCTTGCTCAGAGGAAAACAAAGTGTGGGAGGCTGCTCCAGAAAGGTCTAATGGCTGCACTTTCACTATGGCATTCACAACACATCATTGGCATTGCATTTGTGGGGGTGCGTTGGTGCCACCTGGGGTGCCAGGGAGGGGAGAGATGGCTTGGTGGGAGCTGGTAGGGAGCCATGCCATGCTGATTTTGATATTTTGTTCTCTTGTTGGCATTTTTTGTTGTTCAGTTTCTGGTTGCTTTGGAGTTGTTGTTGTTGTTGTTGTTTTTTTTTTTTTTTGATATAGTGTTTGGAAATTAATAAACAGAATACTGTATTATGTGTATGGTGCTTTTCCTTTCTTCCTCAGCAGTCCCTGAGGTAGTTTTCCTGTTTTTGCTGGTCTCCAGCTGTGGAAAGGTTGAAAACCACTGAGCTAGTTTTCAGCAAAGCCTTTGACAAAGTGCCACTTGATATCCTAGTTGAGAAATTGTTGAGTTTTGGGATAAATCAATGCACCTGCCGATGGATTAGGGCAAGGTTGACGGACCACAAGTAGAAAGTGACTATCAGTGGGGAATCATCAGGATGGCAGCCAGTGATGAGCAGTCTCCTAGGGCCCAATTCTGAGACCAATTTTGTTCAACCTTTTTATCAATGACCTGGAGGATGGGGTAACCAGTCTGCTGACTAAATTCACGGATGATACCAAAGTGCGGGCAGTGGCCGCAACTGAGGAGCAGGTGATCCAGATCCCAAAGGTTCTGGACAGGCTGTAGAAATGGGTGGGGGACAACAGGATGGCTTTCAAGGTGGATAACTGCAAGGTGTTACACCTGGGGCACAGGAATACACAGGGGTCACAGGGGCTGGATGGGGGACAAGTGGCTAGAGAGCAACACTTGTGAAAAGGATCTCGGGGTACTTGCTGACAGTAGGCTGAACATGAGCCAGCAGCATGATGTGGCAGTTAAGAAGGCAAATGCCACCCTTGGATGTATAGCCAGAAGCATGGCTTCCAGATCTAGGGAAGTATTGATACCGCTCACACAAATCTGGTGTACCCACAACTGGAGTACTGCGTCCAGTTCTGGGCTCCACATTATAGGAGAGACATAGCTAGGTTAGAATTGGTTCAGCACAAGGTCACAAGAATGGTAGCTGGATTGAGAGGGATGACGTATGAGGAGAGATTGAGGGAACTGGGTCTTTTCACCCTGGAGAAGAGGATACTTCAAAGGGATCATTTAACACTTATAGGTATGTGAGGGGATATCATGTGGAAGAAGGCCGTGACCTCCTGCAGTGGAGGGCAGGACACGTTCCAATCAGGCAAAGCTCAGGGAAACAGGCTTCAGGTTGGCTGACAGTTAGGACCCCTAGGATATGGAATGGGCTTCCAAGGAAGGGGGTTGAGGCCCCCTCAGTGAAGGAGTTCACAGAAAGATTTGATATTAGGGTTTATATGAGTGGAGCGGCTGGAGCCAGGGGTCAGACTAGATAGCCTGAGAGTTCCTTCTGTCTCACTTTGTTTCTGTTTCTAAGCTGTCACTTGAAGTACGAGGGGGGAGAATCATGTGTTTCCTCGTGCTGCTCTCCCCACTTCCAGTTGCTTTACACCATGCAAGCAGAATACATAAACACCTGTATTCGGGGGGCAGTGGGGCAGAAAGATATCGCTGCAATGAAAAAGGGTTAGGAAAACTTACTCTCCCTTCAAATGGTACTTGTTCTTCCTGTATTAAAGAAAACAAAACTGAATGGTACATAACTTGAAGTTTTAGCCTAACAAAAGAAAAGCAAGACTGCACAGTGAGATGTATTGCTGCAGTTTCAGAAACTGCTGCCTGGAAATGTGGCTCATATGTTTGAACGTTACATTGTATCTTTATTATTTATTTCATTTACTTTTTAATGTAAATTGGAGGGGTCTTCCAGTGTCAGATTCTCCAAATTTCAGTATGATTCTGCTTTGCATTTATATATATATATATATATATATAGAGAGAGAGAGAGAGAGAGAGAGAGAGAGAGAGAGAGTTCATTCCATGTTAAATACTGTATGTGATACTTAAGAGAGAGTAAAGAAAGATTAAATATTTCACAATTTCTGCATGCATACACACAGTCAATGTATCACATTTCTGGAATTCCTATATTGGAATTCCCATTCCCAAACACAACCGGCAACCGCCACCACTGGTCAGTAAGAGGGACGCCACTCATAAAGCCTGACGCAGCTCAAGCACCTCTCTCAGATCTAGCTAAGCAACACGTGAAGAACAGCTTGCCAACACCTCATGCAAAGTTCTACCCGGGAACACTTTCCATCCAATCATAAAGCGGGAATGGAGAGACACGCAGAGCCTCTTAGCCAATCAAAACTTAGATAAGCTCGATGCGTTAGCCTGCTAATAAGCGACCCCATCTTTGCACGGCGGGCCCGCCCACTGCTCCTTCCTCACTCGCCTATGAGCGGAGCCGCTCAACTGGAAAAGCGAGAGTGCGGGCATAGGCGCGCTAAGGAATGAGTGCGCACGCGCGCTCTCGACTGCTCTTTCGGACGGTGTCCGGCAGGACTCATCCCAGTCCTTTCAACCTCTCTCCTGCGAGCGCTTGAGGCCCGGAAAAGCGAAGCATAAGAAGGGGCCCTTAAAAAAAAAAAGTTGCGGCAAGGCCGGCGGCGATGTCCGTACGGAGCGGCGAGGGGCGCGCGGTGGCGTTGCTGCGGGCGACGACGACGACGACCACAACAGCCTCGGGGGCGCGGGGCCTGTACCACTTCCCTTCGTCCGTACCTCTCCGCCTGTGGTTTCTTCTTCCTCCTTGCAACTGGGCTCTGCCGGGGGGGTGGGCCCGAGACTGAGCCACCCTGGGCTGAGCCCTGGCGGAAGAGCACCGAGACTGAGGCCGGGAGGCGTGTGCCGCTCCCCGGGGGCAGCCGGAGCGCCAGCTGTCTGAGCATGGGAATCCTCTTCACTCGAATATGGAGGCTGTTTAACCACCAGGGTGAGACGGCAGGCAGGCAGGCAGGCGCGCGGGCTGATTCGGGTGGGGGAAGCTGGCATTTCGGCTGGCATGGCCCAGCTGGGCGCACGTTCTGTGGCGCGGAGCCAGCGGCAGTCTCCATCCCGGCCCTCGGTGGTAGAGTATGTGCATTGTATGCCAAAGGGTCCTCCTTCGGTTCTTGGCATTTTTAGGTAGGGCTGTAAAAAATCCCCCGACCCAAATGCTGCCTAGCTGCTGCCAGATGGGCCAGCAATCTGGCTAGTTATAAGGCAGCTTCCTAGATCCCTAACCCTAAGCTAACTATCTTGGAAGTAAATGCCAGTGAAGTCGCTAGGACTTTCTTCCAGGCCAGTGAGGCTTCCTGGGTTACATCTTGAGACAGGTTTATGTGACAACCTTGCCGAAGCTCAGGAGGACTGAGTCTGGTGGTTGGACTCTGGTTGGGAGGAAGTCGCAGTCTGGAACACTATGATGGAACATATACTTAAATGAAAGCTACATAGCGGATAAAAAGGACTGTCATTGTGCATTTCTGTTGACTCTGGTTGTAAAAAGACGTAGGTAGCCCTATGTGGAAGTAATTTCTGTTTCTCTTTGCATAGCTATTTATGTGTTTAAGCACACTTGTGTTATGCTTGAAGCCTATTAGGTGAATATGATGGTTGGGGAAGAAGAAGATTTAATACTGGTCCAAACTTATAAGACTCTTGTAACGAATGCTGAGAATGCTTATGAAATGCTTTTAATGTTGTTTTTTTATCACTAAGATGATGGTTACTATTATGGTCTTGGGGTAGTAATGGGTCAATTTTAATATAGTCCAGGCCAGTGAATTATTTGGTAGTATCACCAAGCATTGAGATGGAATGATCCTTTAAACTTTGTTCAAAGCAACCTCGATTGTCATGGAATGAGAGGAATCTATTAGTATCTATTGGTAATTAACCAATTATCTGTTAGTAAGAGGTTAAAGAACAGAGAGCAGAAATAGCCAGGTTTCACAACAGATAAAAGTAAACAGTAGGGTGCTCTATCCCTCCCTCCCTAAAAATACGAATGGATTATAGTGAGCTCCAAAAGATCCCTTTCCTAAATATCTGTTCTTACTGATCAGCAAAAACGATAGCTCTCGCAGCTTCTTGGGGAAGCCATCAGGTCCCACTTCTTAAAGTAACAGCAAATGTTAAACAGCTACCTGGCTTGGAATTTTTGGGTACACCCTGAGAAAGGGGTTCAGGCATTTTATAACACAAAGGCACATAAGCAACCTTTTTCTGCCAGGATTTATCTAAATTTTCCCAACACCCTCAATATGGAGAGGCGCCAGACTAAAACCTTTTAATTTAATTGTTATTTTAAAAACAAATTTAAATTTTAATGTTTAACAGTCGCATTTATTTAATTTATATTATGCCTGAGATGGAATTGGTTGTTTTCTTGGCAACTGAGTCAAAATGTTTGTAATGCTGTCCACCATCTCTTTCTTGGTGAGTCTCAACAGTTCATACTTGAAGTCAGATATTCTTGCTCCAACATGCATTATTTTAGCTTACATTGAACCACATTTGCCATTTTGATGCCCATTATCCCAGTTTAGAGAGATTGTTTCAGAGTTCCTCAAAGTCTCTTCTTGTTTTAATTTAGTGTCAGCAAGCTTGTCCACTTCACTGTTCATTCTTAATTTCATGTCATTATGGATAAGTTGGAAAGCCCTGGTTCCAATACAAATCTCTGTGAGATCACCCTGTTTATATTCCTACGTTGTGAGAATTTAGCATTTATTCCTACTCTTTGCTTTCCATTCCTTCACCAGTTACTGATCCAGAAGAGGCCCTCTACTCTTATTCCATGACTATTAGGTTTGCTCAGGTGAAGAACTTTGTCAAAACGTTTTTGGAAATCCAAGGAAACCTATACCATCATCCCGGTCCACATGTTTATTGGCACACTTGGAGAACTCTGAAGGGTTAGTGAGACAAAACTTAGTGTTGCAGAAGTCATGCTGATTCTTACTCAGCAGGGGTTACCCTTAAATATCCTTACTGATTTTATTGTTACTAACTTTGAGCATATGTTAAACTACCTTGCCTGCAATTTCCTGTATTCCCCCCAGATCTCTTTAAAAAATTAGTGTTTCATTAGCCATTCGGTATTCCTCTTATCTTAGCAACATATTACATATTTTTGTTTAAAAAGTCAGCAATTTCATACTTGAGTTCTTTTATAAATCTAGGATGGATACTATCTGGACTTAATGATTTATTAATTTTCACTTTGTCAGTAAGGTTGAGAACCTCATCTTTTGTCACCAGTATTAGGATTAGATCATCAAATACTGATCCTAAAAGCACTTCAGGTACAATATCTGTCCTGTATCCCCTGCACTGAAGACAGATGAAAATAACTCAAACAGCCTTTCTGCAATTTCCTTATTCTGCTTTAATACTCCATTAACTGCATTATGATCCAGTGGTCTGCATGCCTCCCTAGCTGGTTTCTTGCCACTGATACACTGAAATAATTGTTTATTGTTGGCCTTAATGTCATTAGCGATATGCTGCCGAAATGCTGTTTTTGCATCTCTTACTGTCTGTCTGCATCTCCCATATACAAGCTCCCTCTTGTTTTCCTCCCTTTGGCAAGACTTCTACTATCTGAAAGAAGCCACCTTCTCTCCAACAGTTTCCTTGACACTGTACCCATACCAGTGTCCACCTGGACTTGATGCTGATTGATTTTCCTAAATTGCAGTATGCGTGCTATCTGAGCTGCTATTGTTGCGGCGTTGAGCTGATTTCAAGAATTCAGAAAGGATTTAAGCCTCTTGACTCACACTTTCAGCTTTCTTTTTACTAGTTCCCTATAGAGTGGCTTTGATTTAAATCAAATTGGTTTAAATAACTAGTTGGTAAGACTAGATTTAAATCCTGGTTTTGCACATGTGTCTGTCCTACCCATCAGTAGAGGAACTTCATCAAAACTATTTTCAAACTGGATCTCTCTTACAGCCTGCTGCCATTATAAACTTCAGACTATGCACAAAAAGATCTGAAAACTTGTAGAGTATTTTCCTCTAAAGATTCCACTTTGATTTTTACCACTTTTGCCTCCCTCCTCACACATAGCTTCTTTTGCAGATCTGTTCCACTTGCAGCACTTCTTCTATTCATTGAATTTTTTGAAACTTAGCACTTGTTTTCAAAATAAGGAAGTTTTTGTTTTTCATTTCAAAATTACTCTAAGTATTCTGGTCTGCAGGATGATAGTATGTTCCTAATACTAAATGTCAGGATCCAGGGCTGGGATGTGGACATTGAGAGATAAGGCAGAGGCACTGTGACCTGGGCAACAGAACTTGAGGTGAGTCCAAAGTACAATTGCAAGGTTTAATGGCAAGTCTAAGTTGTAGTCATGACACAGCCAGAGTCAGACCGAAAAATCTGTATCAAAGCAGGACAGGATCATGAACAAGCTAAGGGTCAAGAACAGGAAGACTTAACAGAGGTGCAGGTACCTTGAGGCAAGATGAGGTACATGGAAAGGACCAGGCAAAATGCAGGAGGTGAACCACAGCTGTCAGGCAAACCTGCATTGCTGAGGCAACATACACCCATACATGCTATCCCTCACCAGACATCTCTGACATGTGCAACTTCTGTTTTAGCACTTAAGCCTCTCTGACTCTCATGTTTCACTGTATGGACATGGCCTATTTCCCGCCCTTCTACATTTGGGCAATCAGAAACTTTCATCTTAAATTATGTATGATGTAGAGAAAGTGGATAGGGAGACATTTTTTTCCTCTTGCAGTGCTAGAATCTAGGCTCGAGCAATTAAACTAATTGGTGGTAGATTCAGAATAGACAAAATACTTCATATATACAGAATTAGCCTATAAATCTTACTTCTGTAAGATGGTGTTAAAGTTAGATTGGACAAATTCGTGAAAATAAGGTTATCAATAACTACTAGTTATGTTGACTATATATTACCTCCAGAATTTGAGACAGTGTTCATGCCCTAATATTAACTCCCATGTTGGTCAGTCTAAGAACAATGCTGGGCTAGGTAGACTTTGGTCTGATTCAGCAGCAATGAAGCTATGTTTTATGAAATACAAATAACTGGGAGTATGTCTGAATGTGTGATGGAATGGAAGTCAGAGGAAGGACATCAGTGTGTAACGTGTAATCTGTTTTGTTGTTTGGTTGGTTGGTTTCTTTGGTATTACAGTTGGTGTCCCAACTGGTAATAAATTGGAGAGATAGGTTAGGCATGCAGTCTGGTGGTATATCTAAGTGTAAAGTCATGGTTCCTTAAGCTGGGATAATAAGAATTGCTCCACACTCTGTTATTCTTTTAAAAATGTTATTCCACATGATTCCAGTTTATAAGCATATTGTGCTTGCCAGATGGGGGACCTCTTTTGAGAGCTTCAGTGCAGATGTTGGAAGGCTTCCCCACAAAAGGAGGGTCTGTTAGAAAGCTGGAAGTTGTGATCTCTTTTACCTGCAAGAGCTGTGGAATTTAGACTTGGTGTGTCTTTGCTCTGTGTTTTCATCTGCCATATCTCAGAAGGAGGCATATCTTGCTTTCTACTTCTGTGTTTTGGGCACTGCCCTCTGAGTAGGTGTCACCTGAAACCAACTGTCATAGCTGAAGCGTGAGCTCTGTTGTACTGGCTTCATCAATAATAAATCATCTGTAATTAGAGCTGAGCTGACAATGGTTTTGTTGAGGCATTTGACAGGTAAGAGTTCAACTTTTTTCTGTGTTCCAGTGCATAGACAGCACAATACCTTGTACTGAAGCAATAAGGGTTCCATTTAAGCTGTTGCAATTTATGCACATGGTGAGCACATTTTGCTCACCAGTTATTTTCTGGCAGTTAAATTTGTATGGGTGTGTTGTACCAGTGAGCTACTTTTAAATAGTATTGAATTGCATTATCTCTTAATGTTAGATCAGATATTACTTGCTGGTCTGCTCTTGGTTGTTACAAGCCACTGGCTTGTTTGTGTCTTGTTTGGAATCATGTTGGCTTTGCTGCATTACTGCTTATGTTAAGTTATTTTATTTTATTTAGATCAGTGACTTCCTTTTGCAGTCCCTGAGATATCCTCAAGCTTAAGAAGGAATGTTCAGAGATTTATGAAGAGTTGAATGATTAATGAAACAATGTCACCAAATGAGCCATTCTTCCTTCCCCTTAGGAGATCACTGGTTATATGAGACAAATGTAGCTACTGTTCCCAGTGGTAGTTGTGTATTTCTTATAGGTCACACAATAAATATTATGGTTGCTTATGAGCATCATAGAATAGATGTGTACTCTTTGCATCATTGTTACTGTTCTTTTGATAGACTAAAATGTGAATTAAAATAGCACCCTATTTCTTTATTCATTAAATGCTTTATGAATTATACAGGCATCATATAGTGGAATTAGAATATAACATAATAAAATAATCACAAAATTTTGATAGAATAAAATCCATCACAATTTAAAATCAGCAGACATATAGCATCACAGCATAGTAAAATCTGATACAGTACCAGAACTGAAAGTACCAAGCTAAAGAAAATATACCATAGGGACTAAATTAGTAGCTATGGGATGCTTAAAATGTCTGAGGAAATAGAAAGGGCTTAGCCTGACACCCAAATGGTAATAATGAGGACCCCAGGAAAGCTTTCCTAGGGGAAGTGCTCTCAAGCTGGGAGGATGCCACTGAAAATGTCCTCTTTTGCTAGTTTTCACACTTCTGTGGGGGCACTCAGAGAACTTCCATAAAGAATCTTGAGTGGCAAGTAGCAACATAGTACCATGTAGAACTTTACAGGTCAAACCCAGCCTTTGAATTAGACATGGAAATGTACTGGAAGCCAGTGCCAGCAAGAAAGGATGGGTCTACTATAATCATAATGCCTTGTCCCAGTTATAATTCCTGCAGTCATGTTTTCTACTAGCTGATGTTTCTAGACTACCTTCAAAGGCATCACATTAAATAATCCAAGGAGGAGGTCATTGGGACAGGGATCACTGGAGCCAGATTATCCACCTGTTGATACTGTTGTTGCTAGTGAGGAGGTAGTATCTAGCAAGGAGGTAATCTTTCATTCGACAGCTTTCTGTTTCACATTCATAGAACTTGTATTTTCAGATCTCTTATCACAAATTGTTTCAGGTGGGTAAAGGAAAGCCTGAGCTTGCTGCAAAACATGTAGTAGTCTTAAGATAAGATCTAGTCTCCTACAGAAGTTTTTTTTTTACTGGAAAAAATATCAACTGTGATTCAACACTTTTTGTTTTGGTTTGATTTTAACCAGTGGTATAATGTGTTGTCTTAAGTCAGAAAGGCATGACTCTTAGATTGACTCAAGCCTCACTACAACAGCCTGTGAAACTGCCAGTAAGGGCATGTTACTTCTCGACCAATCCTTGATGCTTCATTGTTATGATTGTGGTCCTACCCTCCAGTCATCTCACTATGTGAGCCAGTTTAACAGAGTCAGGTTTGTGCCTAATCACTTATATTGCTGGTTGGTTCCAGTGCTGGTGAAACAGTTTGGCTCTTCTCACTTCCTTCTTTCACTACCACAGAGTTTGTCAGGCATTTGTAAGCAAAACGAATTGGAAGCACTCAGAAGGCCACCTTCCTTGTTTGACACAGAATCATCCATTAACCTATACAACAATATGTAATGCCACAAGAAAAGAGTGGTCTCCACAGAAAGTTATTGCCTCTTCTCAGATGTGTGTTTTGGAGTGCTACACCAAATTTCATGATTTTATTCTATAACTGGAAATGCAGAAAGTAGTACCTCCAGGAAGAAGTTATGATTTGCCATGGGATTTTGGGGATCCACATTTTTCTTCAGTGGATTGCATTGCCACTGAGTCATTTCATCTGTAGTATGAATAGTCTTAATAGGCTGCATGGGTGACTCATTGCCTGGAAGGAATGGGTATGCTAAATGAGTTTCCTAAATAATCTGTGCAGAAAGGTATTTGATGATCCACAATGAGGATTGCTCTAACAAAGCATGAGAACTCCTGTATTAGATATAAGAATGCCCAGGTAATAGGATGCTTCTTTCTATTCATCCATCCATTGATTTATCCCAACGGTTATGGTACAACATACCTTTTAAAAGATTTTGGAACTGCACTGTATAGTTGCTCTATTTAAAATAGCACAACGGCTGGGTGGCTGTCTTGTCCTTGTAACTTTTGGCTTATGTGTTACGGGAAATCATCTCACTAAAAGACAGGCTGCAACAAGCCTTGGATTAGTACTTTGCCTCACCTCTCCTTGCCTTTTGCATGCATGAAGAGGTGGTTAAAATGGAAAGTGGGAGTTGTAAAATGAGTTACGGGTTCTCTGTGATTTTGAGATAACTTGGAGAACTGTGGGTTGTTTAAACTTTGATTAGTAAGAACAAGCTATGATCAAACCATGGTATAAACTTCTGGCTTTCTCTAACCTGATACTCACCGTGACTCATTCTTCTCACAGAAAAATATGATTTTCATCCCCATAATGTCTGAATAGTGGCAGAGAATGTTCTCTGAAATATATGCTGCTATGACCAATCCTATTTACAGCAGTTCATAGTCCTTTGTGTGTTTTTTCTAGATTACATTTTGAATTGGCATCATGGGGTGAGAGTTGAACCTCCACAGGCTTGGCCAATGTCATGATGTTGGACATGTACCCTAAAACTTATTCCAGGATCTTCAAATATGCCTAAATATTCTGTGGTAGACTCATGATGCTCCTTAGGGGCCAAGTCAGTGTGGAAAGGGTTTTCTGAAGGCAAAAAGTTTGAAATTTCTATAGCGATAGCTTAGAGAAGTAAACTAACATACCTTCAAGTTTAGCTGTTGTTAATTGCTGAATTGGGTGGCATATTCTAATAGAAAGCTTTTATTTATTTGATTGTTTATTCATTGGCTGGGTAAATCTGTAGCCTTATTAGAAAACTTAGATAATATGCTCATTAGTCATTATTGTTGTTAATCAAAGTGCATCCACCACTACCCTGCCTTGTTTTTCCATTATCCACTCTATTGGCAACATTATAACCTGGAATATTATAATCTGGAAAACATTGTAGTAGATTCTGCTGTTATAGGGAAGTCATTTTACCTGCCATTTTTACAGTTACGCTCTTTGGCAAGTAGCTAAAATTTCAATGCATTCCATGGTTAAAAATGCTCTGAAACACCACACATTATTCCTTTTTGAAAGTTACCTGTCCTGCTTGTGTGCTATTGTTTTGAGGCACTCAGTTCTATTTGATGGCTGTGCCTCTAATCCATATTAAAGGAAACCTTATGGTATCATCATTTGAGATCAGGAATAAAGGAATTGCAAATTTCATTTGATGCAGAATGTATTCTTAAATGAGTAAGTTGAGTGGGTGGATATATTGTATGGTCAGAACAACAACTGTACTGAAAAGGTCAAGGACACAGAATGAATTTATTGATAGTCTGGCTTTCCACTTTTCAGGAGTCTCAATGTGTCTTAGCATCTATATAGAAGCAAAACAATTAAGGTGGTAATGCATGGATGTGTGACATGACCATGTGCTTAACTAGTTTCTTGTTTGCTTTTTCTCTCCAGAGCACAAAGTGATCATTGTTGGCCTTGATAATGCAGGAAAAACAACCATTCTTTATCAGTTGTAAGTATGAAGTCCCATAAACAGGTGACTAGTCTTGTTTTGCTGTAGCAGAATAGGGAACTAAGTGAATTCTGATCTGTTTTTGGCACCAGTGGGCCACATCCTGCTTGGCATGCACAGTGGAGGGTGTGAAGGTGATGGCCAATTCCTGTTGGCCTGGAACAGTAGTCCTCAGCATCTGGTAGTCAGTGGTATGCTCCTTTCTGCATAAGACTTATTATCATCATGGCTAATAATAACAACTATTGGTAGACTCTTCATCTAAAACTGTTCCTAACCTCTTTCAAAAGCCTGTCAAAGCTAATAGCCATCACCACATTTCTCATGTTTAAAGAAACACATTTCTCCTTACTTACTTTCTCTAAGTTAGTTATAATTTTATATACCTTTGTCATATCCCTCAGATCTTGCTAAACCTTTAACAAAAGGCTCACATTCCTTAGTTTTTCTTAATTGGAAAGTTTCTTCCTTGCCTCCCCACACCCATATTTGTGATACCCTGTTTGAGACGAAGCAACCAAAACTATACACATTCATAACATTCCAAATGTGGCTGTGCAACATCTATATAATAGCATTATGAATCGTGCTATTTTATAAAATTTTCTCTGAAAAATACTCTTCCTTATTAATATTGCCTTTCCATTACTTTTTTATTTTTCCTTGCAACTCGGTGAAGCAGCTGCCTAGTCACTAGAGTAGCACTGTTGTGGTAGAGAAGCACTGCAGGAATGCTCCCTTGCTCTGCACCAGTGTGCGAGCACACACCCTCCTGCACATCCACCTCTACCCCTTCCTTTACTGCACATGTCTGCTTCACACATTACCCATGCACAGACTCACAAATGCTGCCAGGGGCTGTCTCCCACTGCAACCAGGCACACGGAGGGCTTCTGCTTGAGCAAGCCGTGCCAGGGACAGGGAGCATCTGCCTGGGAAAGTTTTCTGGCTGGCCACAAGCAGTGTGTGTTCCTCTTGTGTAAATCTGTGTTCACAAGAGGAGAACACTGGCTGCACAAGCAGAACAAGCATTCAGCCATTCCAAAGTGCGGCTCCAGGAAAGGGTAGTGACCAGACTAGTGCATCAAGCATGGCTGCCACCATGATTACTGCTTGAAACGGCATGGTGCGATGCCCTGCTGTTGCCAGCGTTCCAGAGCTGCAGCGGGGCATTGGAAAAGTAGCACAGGGACAGAGGGAAAAAGGAGTGCAAGGAGGTCAGTCAGAACATAGCTGTATAGAAAAACATGGTAACTGGATTCAGGCATAACAACAAGCACTGTGTGGGATCGTGGAAACCTTACAACAAACCAGTGATTCTCTGCATAGATTCAAGGTAACCAAACATGCCATGCTTTACCATGGTTGCTGAATTCACACTTAACAACAAGCCATGGCTTGCTATAATGTGTCAACACAGCCATTGTGTCTGTGGTTTGCATAGTTCAAAGCTACTGAATGTAAAATTGGTTCAGCTGTTCCCAAAGATATCTCCACATGGGGTCTTAACACGTGATCAGGCAACTTCTGTTTTGGTAGTGCTGTAGTGCCAGCTTTGCAGAAGTACTGCTGCAGTGGTATGTCTGCATCTAGGGCTATAACTCAAAGCAACTGCAAAAATAACTGGCCTCACGCAGCTCCAACCATTTTGAGAAGGAAATTTAGATCTTACTCTATTTTTCCCATTTTGACATGTATCTATTTTTAAAACTGTCTTTTTTATACAATTGGTGTTTGCTGACCAGAGAGGTAAGGTTTCAAAAAAATCAAAGATTGATTTTCATTTCATTGAAGTTGTGATCCTATGCTCAGTTACCTGGAAGAAGGTCCCATTGAGTATAGTGGATTTGACTTCCAAATTAACTGGCATAGGGTTGCACTGTGACGATTTTGTATTATCACTTTTAAAGCCACACCTTAGGTGCAAGCGATGAATGGATTATTTGCCATTAATTTGCACAGAACATGGAGAGAGAAACAAAAATGTATCACTCTTATTGCCTATCTTTTTCCAGTTCCATGAACGAAGTAGTTCATACTTCCCCAACCATAGGAAGCAACGTAGAAGAGATTGTTGTCAATAATACACGTTTTCTTATGTGGGATATTGGAGGCCAAGAATCTCTTCGCTCTTCATGGAATACATACTATACAAACACGGAAGTAAGATTTTGTCTTACATTGTTTTTCTAAAACAAAACACCATAATATTGCTGTAAATGATTTCATAGGGAGTTTAAGGTGTGACCCAGCCAAATTTAGCAGTTTGTCTGTTTGAAAAAATGCAGGAGAGAAAATTCTCTTTCATTAAAATCAGAGGAATTTGCTTAGCAATATCACTCTTATTTGTTTCTGAGTTATAAGGTTACTACTGGAACTTTGGTAGCCATGGTAGGTACTTCCTTTTTGTGTTGCATGTTGTTACTGCATATATAGTTTTATGGTTATAGACATGAGCTTAAGTGGACTCCGGGGGATGGTGGAGGACAGGAAGGCCTGGAGGAATGTTGTCGCATGAGGTCACAACTAACAACAACAAGAACAACAACATAATAAACCTAGGAAATATTCCACTTAGAAAAATGTAAACACAAATACTTACCATGGACCATCTTTAAATTGACACTAGCACTGACAGAAATTGTATTGTGTTAAAATAAGTAACCCTGACACACTGCCAGTAATGTTTGTGTGATGAGTTTCCCTACATAGGACAATAATCAAATATAAAATCATTTTGTGCTTTATGATTGAATACTTCCTGATAAAATAAACACCTTTTGTGACCAGTTCAGATACAGCACCAGCTGATGGAGCATATGCACAATGGGCTACTGGTATGGTATTCACCTCTTCTTTGGGCATGTTACATGTCCAAACACGGAACTTGTATGTGTGGATCCAACTAGGGAGAGATTCAGGCTGCATGTAATGTGAACAGGCCCAATGTAAACATGATATCTGGCATTCCGAGATGTGAGACATGCTGTCAACCAGTCTGCAAGAGAAATCAATTATACACATATCATGATGCATTGTAGAGGGAAAAAGGCATAGCAGTTAAATAGGTTAAGACCTATTTAAAACACCACACTTTAGTGTCCCCATCAGGCTGGCAAAGAGGGCTGTCTTAACCTGGCCTTGAAAGGATGGCACAATTGACATCCAGTGGGAAAACCATTCTGTAATTGGATTACCACTGAGAAGGCCATCCCCTTTGTAGCCACCTTCTGAGCCTCCTTCAGAGGTGGTACTTGGAAGAAGACACTAGACGTTGACAATTGTGTCTCACATTGTGGTTGGTAGAGGCCTTTATTAACTATTGCAGTGCATGCAAGACCGTATAGGTTAAAACCAGTAGCTTGAATCATGCTCAGAAGTACATATGCAGCTAGTGTAAGCAACCAAAGCTAGTCTTACATGTTCAGACTTTCTATTCCAAGTTAAAAGTCTGGCTGCCCCATTTCACAGAAACTGCAGCTTCTGAACAGTTTTCAAGGGGAGCCTCACATAAGCACATGGTAGTACTCAAAATTGGAGATTATCAGAGCATAGATTACTGAAGCCAGGCTTTCCCTATGCAGATAGAGGTGGAAGTATGGAACTCTGTGGTATCCTATGGCGTAAAAGCTATGGCACAGAGCCATATTCCCCAGCACCACCTTCTGGAAATGACCGGCTAAGTAGGAGCTGAACCACTGGAGCGCAGTGCCTCCAACTCCCAACTCAGCCAGCCTCTCCAGAAGGATACCGTGATCACTGATATCAAAAACCACTGAGAGGTCCAGGAAAATGAGCAGGGACACACTCCCCTGCCCTGTTCCTGGCAAAGGTCATCCCACAGGGCAAGCAAAGCATTTTCTGTGCTGAAGCTAGGAGTTACCTCATTTGAGGTCTGTCTGACCTTGCATCCCCTTCTCCCTCCTCCTCTGTCACATCACACAAATTTTACTGGGGGCAACTGATTTTGAAAATAAGATACAGTGTGTACCTGCTTCGACTTCCTGTGCATCAGGTCTATCCAGGTACTGCTTCCTGCCATACAAGGGTACCTTGCTGTCACATCTGACATAAGAGTTATTTCACAGAGGCTAGCTACTTTCAGGAACAAAGTCATTAAGGGTTGATATGAACGAAACAATAGATTAAAAAAATGAATGGAATCCAGATTAAAAAGTAGCAGACTCCTACAAATCATTAGTCCCTTAAAAGCTGCTTGTTCTCAACCTTAACCCTAATTTTTCAGAGAGTTCTACAGAGAGAGCCCTTTTTGCTCAAGGCTGCCTTTTCTCATAGCTGGGTGCCGTACCATTTCAGACTGTAGGTGAAGCTCCCATGATTTAATGCAAATCTATACCTGAAACATCTCTGCCAGTAGAAAACTAGGGTTTGAGAAGAAAGGCTTGGCTAAAACATGGTCTCTGTATGGGAGCATGAATCTCAGCCTGCAATAAAAAGTTATTCAGTGCAGAATATTGCCTGAGCTTATAGAGTCTTTTCAGGCTAAGAAGAACAAAATTGCACAAAAGTTTGATATAGCCAGCAAAGGTCCTGAAATAATTTTTGACCTAACACAAACTTCCTTACCCTTCTGCCTTCCAGATGCTTTGAACCACAACCCCCTCACTGTTGGTCCATGCTGCCTGGACTGATGGGGAGTTACAGCCCAAAACATCTGGAGAGCACCAAGGAATAGCCAAGTCACTATCACTGCCTGTAGCATCAGGACAGTATGGCAAAAAGGCTGCAATTCAAAACAAACTTAATAAATAATAAATTCCATTGAATTAGTGGGAATTAGTAAATTTGCTTAGGGTTATACTGTAAGAGACTGCCGCAGTTCATGGGAAAGTAGTCAGCTGTCTTAATTTGCAAACTTTGACCATTTTCATTAATGCTATTTTTTTTTTTTTTTGGAATTGGAAACCAACTGATTTTGCTTCAATAATTTTAACTGTATGTACTGATACTAATACTCAAGTGATTATTGGAGGAGTTTCATGTTTTTACATTCTACAATATGATACATATTTTATTTTTCTTATTCTTTTAGTTTGTAATAGTTGTTGTGGATAGCACAGACAGAGAAAGAATTTCTGTAACTAAAGAAGAACTTTATAAAATGTTAGCACATGAGGTGAGTATTTGCTGGAATTTTTAGCTAAGTTTTGAAAAGGCTATACTTTATGCCTTATAAAGTTAAAAGTTTTGTTTCTCCCTCCTATTTATGTTTCCATTTTGATTAAAATATCTTGCTTGTGTTGTCTTTCTGAGAGCTCAAAATCTTTCCAGTTCTAATCTCCTCCTTTATGTTTTAGCAGAGTCCCCCAAAAGAGTCTCACATGGGGCTGATTATAGCCTACTCGCTGCTGTTTGTGTGAAACTCTCGTAATTGTAGAAAGCTGTTCCTGTAGTTTCCAGAGCAGCAGCTTCAGATCTCTTAGAAAATTCATTCTTACTCAGCCAGAACAGTACGAGCATAGCCTGTTCACAGTCCCACTCTACAGTTTGGAAGGCTAACTTCTAAGCAAATACTTTTTAAAGTGCATTTATGGTTTTAAAGAAACTTCCTGCTCCAGCTTATCTGGAACAGCCTGTGCAAAAGACCTCTGTCTACTGGGTCATGTTAACTGAAATGCCATGCATGTGAAAATACACCAATTTAACTAGACTTCCAGTTGAAAAAGTCAAATGTAGGTAGTTGGCATTGAGGACCATTGAGTGACATACACACGTCTAGTCAGAAGTAAGACCCATTAAGTTCATTGAGGCTTATTCTCAAGTAAATTGGTGTAGGATTGTAGCCTAACAAACCAGTACTATGCATATTTAGATAAAAAATTCATATAGCTCTGATGTTGGCAGCTGGAGAACTTTTTCTTTCTGAGCACGCATAGGATTGTACCCTAGATTGCACTAATTTGATTTCTTCCACTCAGTGTTTTCTCTATGCTGTGCTGGAAGGGAGAAATGTTTTGTAAAAATGTTAGAAAGTTCCTTCTGAAAGTGAAGTGTGATTCATAAACACTGTTGATGAAGTGATTGACACTTTTAAGTCTCTGTATATATTTTAAAAAAATTTAGAAATTCAGTTTACAGGGCTGTAATGAAATACACCCCAATCTGTTCCCGCAAGCACAGATGATAATTTTGGGCTGCCATTTTAATTATTTTTCAAATATAAGGTGGGTAGAACAGATTCAGCTGGTTTGTGAGTGGTTGCTTACTGTTGCTACAGTGGGACCTTCCTTAGTTTTTTATCTTTAAACTTCTAAAACTCACCATTTGTGAAGGAAAGCAGCAGCAGCTGAAATAAAAGCTTTGGTTGCTACTGGTTTCCTCATCCTCAGCATGCTCCTAGAGACACACGCTAGGAGTAGCAGCCACAAACCTTTTCTGGCCATCATGTCTTTGGTTTTAAATGTAGGAGTTGGGGAGAAGAAGCCTGCCTCCATCATCCTCAAAGGCAGCAGCATGAAAAAGTGGCTAAAAATATAAACAAGCTGTCACTATGGTAGGCACTCACTGAAACCAGACAATTCAGCCTTCTTCCTCTCAGTCTTGCCCAAGTTTCAGATGTATGTCCCCAGAACTAGGTGAACTTAATAGCCATTACCTTCCAGGCAAAATGGAAGATTCTGTTTTTAATGTAAAATTACCTTAGTGAGTTGAGGTTTTGCATTATAGAAATGTCAGTTACTGCCTTAAATTCCATCGCGGTCTCCTGAGTTCTTTACAGAGCATCCTCCTGCCAGCTCCAACCATGCACAGTGTACAAAGCGAAAGCATGCAAAAACTATTGGAACTGTGCCACAGCCGTGCTGTTTCCTTTCCCTAGAAACTCATTCAAGTCTGGAGCTGAACACTTCTTACAACTTCTAGAAGGTCTCCATTTGTTTCAGCTGACCTTGATTCATTAGGTAGTATGGCTTTACACAGAACACTGAATACATTCATTCTATTTTTGGTTTCCTGTGTTCTATATTTACATTTTAAATGGCTCGCTGATCCTCAGAGTTAGAAACTGAAAGAAAAAACAAATCTAGATGACTCCTAGAACAAGAATACAAGCCCAGTTGAGAGAAACATCTGCTGCTTTTCTCCACTCTCTAGGACTTAAGGAAAGCAGGTTTGCTCATCTTTGCTAACAAACAAGATGTTAAAGACTGCATGACGGTAGCTGAAATTTCTCAGTTCTTGAAGCTAACTTCAATTAAAGATCACCAGTGGCACATTCAGGCATGCTGCGCCCTTACTGGAGAAGGGTAAGGTTCATGGATTCTTTTCATGGCTGGCATATGCAACAAATCAAGGAGATACTTTGTATGCCTCTTATACTGATTCCTTATTATTTATTCCTACATGACTACATCGGTATAAACCACTAAATTTTTTCCTTTTATATAAAAAGCCCCCCTTTGTCAGCCTCTTAAAATTGAAAAGGAAAATTCAGAACTTTGCATGGATCTAATATTTGTAATTTGTAAAGTATGTTTGGATAGATGAGAAATGCATTCTTGAAATATTAAGTGGAGAATATTAAGCAAGAAAGATCCAGCCTCCAACATTACAGCACTTACATTTTCAATTGTTGTGTAGATAAGGAACTCCTAACAAGTGAAGCTTCTTATCCTGAAGGTGCCTACTAAAATTCTTCTATTCATCTAATTGTAAACCTGAATACACAGCAGACAAATTTTAATAGTTGTTATTGGAGAATGAAAAGGCACTTCCCTAATTTGTTCAAGCACAGCAGTGGCAAAAATGAGATGAAAATGGAAGAGACACAGGAGTTCAAGCAGAATATCCCTGCTTATGTACTTATTTATACCAAAGAATAAACAGTCCTGACATTAAATAGAGAAATGTGTTAAATGCCATCGTCTTATACAATTGTATTACTAGTTCATTTTGTAATTACAGTATTAGCATGATGAGAGACCCAGTGTGGTGGTGTGTTTAAGAGCATGGGACTGGGGCTCAGCCATGGAGCCAACTGGGTGACTTTGGACCAGTCACATGCTCTCAGCCCAACCTACCTCACAGGGTTGTTGTTGTGGGGATAAGATGGAGGAGGAGAATGATGTAAGCTGCCTTGAGCCCTTTGTAGGAAAAAGGCAGGATATAAATAAGTAAGTTTTAAAGCTGGGGTGGAGAAACCTTTTCAACCCAAGGGCTCTGTTCTCTCATGGCTAACCTTTTGAGGGTGACAGGAAAGCAGCAAGCAAGACCACTCCTCCTCCTTGGATCCTTCCATCGGCATCCATAGTCTCTCTCTTCCCCTCCGTAGCAAAAGGACTAGAAAAAAGCCTCCCATTGGAGCCACTTAAAGTTTGTTTTTCAAACCTCCTTGCTGTCAGCCACATGTTTTGGAGAAGGGGGCAGATGGGATAAAAAGATGAAGGGCAATTTGGGGGCATTCATAGGGTGGTGGCAGGTTAAATTTTCCCTCCAGCTGTAATCATCACCTGTAACTTGTTCTTCCGTGCAGTTAGACTTGAAAAAAAGCCTCTAACTTTCTTTAAAGGGACACTTTTTCCATGGGGTGAGCCACCACTAGGAGGAAAGGGCTGGCTGGATGAGGAGGAGGTTCCCTGCTGTTATTCTAAAGTTTATTTGGAATATTTGTATTCCTTATTCTGTGAATTCCTGTTAACTGAAAACACGGTATGTTTTCAAGTAAGCAAAACTGTACTAAAAACAGAGATTACCTAAGTGTAGTTTTTCTGGTTTGCTCTTGTTGACAGTTCATAATACAGTACTTCTAAAACTGGGGGATTTAAAAAACATCACATGGTCTGATGGCCTGGGGTATCAAGGTGCCAAATCCCATTGGGTGTGTCACCAGCCCGTGGATGTGACTTGCTTCCTTGGTCTTCCGGCCTCTCATTGAATGACTGTTATCCTCTGAATTTGGTGGCGTATGGACAGCCACATTGGATGGTGTGCCAGCTGGTTTTCTGGATTTCAGCCATAGGAGTGATCAAGCACTGGCTAACAAAAACTAATTAGCTTTACAAATAAATAAGCAGTAATTGCTGCTGCTGCTGACATTTTGATAAACATCTTTTAATTGTAGTAGTAATAAAGCCTTGCAGAAAGAGCCACAAAACTATTAGCCCTCAAAACAGTTTAATAGCTGAGTTGATCTCCCACACATGTGTTAATCATTTGGACATTCATAGGCTAAACATTTTTAAACTGTTCTGTTTTTTTAAAACTTCTCAATTTCAAATTACCCAAAGCTTTCCTATGTATCTTGAATCTTATCTTGCAGAAAAACCAGATGAATTGTAATTTACTGCTATATAATACATCGCAATTTTGTACCCCATTTTAAGTGTTCAAAGTATTTCAGTCTTTGCCACACTTCTGCAAGGTACCTAAATATTATCTCCATATTTTCTGAAGGTTCTGATGCTGAGGAACAGTCTCTTATCTAAAACTATATAATGAAATGATATTTAGGTGGGCAGAAGCTGTTATATTTCCATAATGTTTTCTTAATTTTGCTATTTCATTTCTAGATTGTGCCAAGGACTTGAATGGATGATGTCAAGGCTTAAGATCAGATGATTTTTACTCTGCACAGACATTGTACAAAACAAAAGTGCTGGATGTTTGGTTACCTTGACAGCTATGCATTAATGGCTTATCTGTATTTATAAAACCAAAACTGAATTTTAGGGGGTTTTTTCTTGCTACTTAACACACTAAGGCCAACTGCAACGGAAAGAAAACAAATTTGTTTTCCCAGATGCTTTCTCTGGGGTGGAGTTTAAATACTGTGACTGATCTTAATTTTAAGAGAGATCATTTGAGACTGTTCAATGAATAATGTGTGAGATGAGATTGAAAGAAACATTTTAACTTTTACATTTTATTATTCCAGTCTTAACTCACTCAGTTGAAAATGTTGACTTTGTTATTCCAGAAAAATCAGAAAAGAAAATAAGTGGCACAGGCATTGACATTAGTATTGAGGGCAATTCAGATGTGCTTTAGAAGTGCAACAGTTTTCTATGTATGTGTACTGTACATTTTGTATACTTATACCTCATGTTAAAGTTGATTCAGTTCTGTACAGAGAAATGGTAAATGTCATTTACTCTGTCAGTATTCCTGATTCTGAGTTCCACAGAATGGCTAACTGAAGTGTATGAATTAAAGCACTTTAGTTCAGCTGAACTGCTTAGTTTGTATCCAGCTTTGTCAGTCTGCCAACAGAATGGATTCAGCTAGTGGAACAAATCCTGCCTTTCCCAGCTCCCTCTCTATCCTCATACCCAAATCTCTGGAGCAGGTTTTGGGGCATGTGGGGGCCTATGGCTGGGAAGAGAAGGGAGAAAAGTCCAGTTGCATGAGTTGAACTCTGCTTGCACAGCATTAGATGTTGCCCCATGAAAGTTAAGCATTGGGTCAAAAGTACTTCTATCTTGTTTTTTTAAATTGGACTGTGAAAAATAGCACTAACAAGTATCACGTCATTTATATTTTGTACTATCCTGCTTGCTATTTTCATGCTAGTGGTGATGGAAAAATTCTTGAAAATTTATGTTTCCCTTTTATGCTGCTTAATATTGGCATGTATCTATACCAAACAAAATAAATGTGCACGGCATTTAGGAGGGTGAAAGGAGGAGAACTTATATATCTTTTAAAAATTCATAATTTTATTGTGTTGGATGGGAAAATCTGAAATATGCAATACTGTTTTTAAAAAGTTACACCTAGGTTTATAGTAGGACATTCCCATTTTTAATATTTATTTTGGACTAGGGTGTTAAAGAGAATAAATTCCTTTTTCCCTCCTTTATCATAAAGTAGTAGACTAATGAGAAACTTTACAAAATTGGTTCTTATAGACTGGAGTACTCTTTAGGGGAATTGGTTGTTATATCTCAGAGTATCCTTTAAAGATATTTATAATCCAAAATGAGCAGACCTAAACTAATTTGTACTTAAATCCCATTAAAATCAGTAGAATGTTTCATGACTAATGTTGTCTGTTGATTGCAGTGGAATCTAAGTCCATCTAATTTAGTCTGAATCAAATTGATTATTTCTTTACAGGGGACAGAACCTAAAATCTAGATAGCTAGCTATGTTAACTAGATTAGCTACATAACAAACTGCTTTTGAAACTCTATAGTGGTTCAGTTGTTTGCTATCGGACTTGATGTAGACTTTCTCTTAAACAGAAATCTAAACTCAGTGCATGGAAGTAGTTCACTGGATTGTAGAAACGCTGCTGTAATCCACATGAAATACAATTTGCAACTTTAACCATCCCTGTTTGTAAAATCTCCAGGGTATTAAACAGTGTGAATACATTTTTAACTTTGTGCAACAAACATGATAAGGTTGGTGGAAAGCAGTAATTTGAAGAGGTGCCATTGCTTAGAAAAATTACTGCATGTGTTAAAAGGATTTGAGTCTTATGAAAATAGTATTAAAGTGCTCTGAACACTGTGCCTACCATTCTTACCAGGCTTTAGGGTAATTTAGAAACAAATATATATCTAGCACCTCTTAATGTTGGAACAAATATATAATTAACTTCTGGCAAACAGGAAGGCCTTCCTTATTCAGGTTTTTCTTGAAAAATATAGGTCATTAAGTACAATTTGCTCTTATATTAAAACCAATCCTGTAAAAATGTAGTGGTGTTTTAATTTCAAGACATTTTGACCCACTTATAGCAGGTTTGACTCTTAGAATCTGATGGAAGATCAAACTGGGCATGTATAATTATTGATTACCAGTTAATCACTTAAGTATGTTTACAATGTTTTATCAAATGCATGTCCATATTCAGTGGTGCCATTAAACTGGAATATCAATGTTTCGGGAAGAAGGGGAAGGAATTTTATTTATAGGCTGGTGCAGGACAGTGGTGCTAGTCCAGATAATGTCTTTTTAAAAACTTTCCTTTGAACTTTTTATGTTAAGCCTTTTGAATCTCTCCCTTAAATTCAAATGTGGTTTCCTTTGAGGTGAAGGGAATTGCCATTTGAGACTGGAAAAGTCTAAAGCCTTTTCAGGCTAGCTGCATGGTTCTTCGTATCTTAAATAGGCATTTTTCCCCTTTTAGTTGCAGTTGTAATCAAACAAGTGCATTCTTGGAGAAAACCTGAAAAATCTGTTTTCTAGCCATACCAAATAAAACTATAAGTAAATTGTATAGATCTTTGGAATATATCCCTGTTACCAAATAAAATTAATTAAGTAACCTATACCTCCACGTCTATATGAGAGTAATGTGGAAGAGAACCTGACGTACGCCAGCTTTTTTGCCTCCTGATAATATGTCTCTGTAGTTTAAAAGAAAAGTGTGCAAATTGATTCTTCTCCTTTTCAACCTTGGGAAACAAAGGCAAAAGGAGGGAGGAAAGCATCTGCAACTTTCAAAGAAAGACTGTGCTTCATGAACTTCAGGAAAGCATCATGTGTTGCAGACAAGCAGTGCCTGGGTTTGGCTGGCTGACCTCATGTTGACAACAGGAGAGGTATCTCGCACAACTTCATGTATTTCAGACTGGAATGAGACAGCAGAGGATATATACACTGCCACTTGCCAGTTAAGATACCCTTGAAAAAGCTTAATATAGATCCTTCAGTGAGTCACTTTTACTTGAGGGTAAGCATATGAAGTTAACCAATTAATTATTTTGAGTTATGTTTGAAGCAAAGACCCATCTTCATTTTTATATATATATTTGTCTGAAGCAAGCTTTGCTCAAGAAAAACTTGGTATGTACAGTCATTTATAACTGGCTGTTTTACCACCATCCCTTTGAAATTTAGCTGAAGGATTCTGGGTGTTCTAACTTGACAGGCAAAGTTATCCAAAGCACTAACAACAATGGATTAAGGGCTGCTTGACACAGAAACACTTTATACCTGAGTACCGGGTGGGGGGGGGGGGCAAACACATACACCATTGTGTGGTATATGTATCTGTGAATATGCTACTATCTCATATAAATGTCATGCAGTGCTATATGCCACTCTGTTTTGCGGAGTGAAGAGATAGCATGCTCTATTCTAGCCTTCCTCAGCCTGCTGCCCTCCAGGACTAGAACTCCCAGCATCCCTGAACATGGGCTATGCCAGCTGGGGCTCATGAAAGTTGAAATACAAAATACCTAGGAAAAAACCAGGCTGATGAAGGCCGCTGTATGCTTTTGTAGGATATGGGCTTGAAGTGGACCATAGGTATTTTATTTAATATACAAGTTATGTGTTCTTTATCTAAGGCCACCTTGGAATGTACCTTGGTTCATGTCAATCTGAAGAACAGTAGGAACATAAAACTGGCCTGGAGAATATACCAAAAGAAACCTTAAATAGGGTGGTTTCTACAGTTTGGCTAGTGGAAGAACTGACTGGCATTAAGTTCCATTTGTTTTTTTTTACTAGCCCTACTTGCACGCTTGCTTCTCTGTGTATGTAACTCTTATTCCATGTGTATATTTGTAAATAAAAAGATTATTACAAAGATACTGGAAAACATGTCTGTTCTCTTTATCCTGCAAGAAGAGTCTGCAGAATTTGTGGCTCAAGTCAAATGAGACTAGGAAAAAATGACAAGCAGTCAATGGGGCATAATGTGTTTGGGTTTTCAGGACATAATATAGTGCACGCCTACTCTATAGACATTATAGAATGCCTTATTGTTGGGAAAGCAATATAAAAATACATAGACGAAATAGTAAAACATTAAATTTTACTTCTCCCTGCCACATTTAAATTGATAAAATCTGTTTGTGAATTATGAATCACAAGGGAACTAGCTGTGCAGATATCCTGAACAAAAATCATACAATTAATACTGACTCTTGTTGAACTAATAAATGTTACCTCTGCAGTGGTGACCTTCAGAGTAAAGAGCCATCTGACCAGACATAATTGACAGAAGATGTTTTTGCTTTATTTGTAATATTTGAAGAACTCTCTCATACAATCACGTTCTTTGTAATGATAAATTAAGAGATAATTTGGGGAGGAATAAGCATGGTCCTGTGGTACAACAAAGACTTTTCAAGTATAAGATTCCAGGATTGTGCTTTGGCATGTTAGATAGAACGAGAAGATCTCTGGCATCTCACTGTCTGTCAGCATGGCTAGACTTGGACTTCGTGGGGCAATTGTTTGAACCAATGGTTTGACTATAACATTGCTGTTTTTCTGGTGGAAGCAGGAAACAGGTGGAAGCCAATTTCCTTTCCTCTGACATTCTCAAAATCTGCTTTGGATAGCTGAAAAACCTTCTGGAGCAGTTTTTAGAGTGGCATGGAAAGCTGTAGGGGAGAAGAGAGAGGAGAAAAAGCCCATCCTGCTTGCCAGTGTTCACTAGCATGTTAGGTTTAACCCCGTATGATGCAGCTCCCAATCTCACTCAACTAGCCCATCTAATGTTCTAGTGATTCCTTTCCTCTAGCCCTCTTAGTCCTTGGTCATACAAACCATACTGAACTAGCCAACAGACCTAAATATATAGTGTGACTGTTTTTGTTTTGGTGAATTTTGGTAAGCTGATCCTTCTAACAATTTCCTTGTGAATTGCTCACACTTTATTCAAAGCTGATGAGCAAGATGTTACATAACCTGAACATTGGTGTGCAAATAGTATCTTCAGTCCAGCAAGTTATGACCATCCTGTTGAATGCAAGTTAATTTGCTTCCAGTGGGAATTCTAGGTGCACCAATTATAGCTAGATTGTGGCACATGTGTTCATATGTGGCTTTGACAGAAGTTATGGCATAACACATAGTTTACTAGTTATAACAACACTTTAAAACACCAGGGATTACAACCAAAAGATTAAAGAGGTCACACTTCCTAGTAAATGCAGGATGAGCTCACGAGATAAAATGATATGCTGTGTAATGGGCTCTACAGCAGCTGCTTGGTAGCTGTTGATGCTGCTGAACGCTTTTGAGTATGGAAACCTTTTGTGTTACGAGCTGCACCAGCTGTCTTAGCTTGCATGGTCAGTGACACTTTTGCTATAAATAATAATGTTTGGATTGTATAACGAGCAAAGTAAGGGGGAAGGTGAAGTTACAGTGACATTTCACTGGCTGTAAGATTTCATAAAATGTCAGATTATTCAAAATGACCAAAACATGGTGTTACATCCTGTGGAAACACTTCTGTCATCATTCAGGGCTGGCTAGATGGAGCCTGGTAACATTTGGAGAGTCACACATTTCTTGCATTGTTGAAAAATAACTTGTCTTTGGGAAAACGTGGAGTGACTGCTTCATATAGTTATACAGTGTTGATGCACTACTTTTCCATGGTAATTCAGTCCACATATAGATTGGAGAAGATTAGAATTATAGTTTAACAATAGGAGATGGAAGTAGTTTTACACTGTGCAGTTATATTGTAGTTACATACTTATAAATAGTTGTATTGGGATTTCTATGGTAGATCCCTCTTCCCCAGCTTCAAGTATGGTTCTCAAGAGACCTTGTAGCATACATAAATGGAGGGAAAGAGGGGAAGTTGCAGTAGCATGAATCTACTTAGGACTGAAATGTCGGTTGTCGCATTTCATGTAATGAATGCATTTCCTGAAGTCTCCTGTGTTCTCTTTTTCTTCCTGACTTTTTAAAAATCAGCCTTTGATTTGCACATGCATATGCTACCTTTAAACTCTTGGCCAGATGTGTGTCATTGGGCAACCACACCCCCCTTTTTCAGAGGATAATCCTCCATTTGAGGAGCTGCCAGAGGACAGTCCTCTATTTTGAAGGCATTCTCTAAAGGGCTGTCCAGTCCAAGGCCCATAGAAAGATGAAGGACTCAGCAGGAAAAGCTGGATTCTGGAATCCCGCCAAAAGAACCTGGGTAGCAGTCTGCCCAAAGCTCATGGCTCACCGTGTCTAAGTCTTCCCCACTGTGGTGAGATTTCTATTTAAATTCTAAAAATATCTAAATTTGTATCTATACATATACATTTGCATGTGCATTTTTATGCAGACACATATCCTCTTTTTTGGTAATTGACAAGTAGGTACCCCATGTGTGTGTCAACAGTTCAGGGCAAAGAAATTATACCGCCTCCAACACATGACAGAGTACAGAACTGCTACCACCATCACCAAAAGCTGACAAACCAGTGTGTTTTATTGGTGTTTGCCATTTTAAAAATTCAGAACTTCACTAACTCTAATAAAGGTAGAAAGTCATCACTTGTCATTTACACATTGCAAATAATAAGCCTGTGTGGCTAATTGTACAAGGTAATGTGTACACTGGTTAAAAATAATTAAATTCATACTGGTGTTCAGAAGGGGGTAATGAAGATACGCTGTAAAATAACAAGTTACTTTTTATTATTACATTTCATTTCTATTCCACCTTTCTTCCTCTTGCAAGGAACCCCATGAGGCTTCCAAAGTTCTCTTTTCCATTATCCTCACAACAACCCTGTGAGGTAGGCTAGCCTGAGAGGCAGTGACTGGTCCAAAGTCACCCACTGGGCTTCACAGCTGAATGGGGACTAGAACCCAGCTCTCCTGAATTCCAGTCCAGTACTCTTAAACACTATACCACACTGGCTCTCTTATCTTGGTTGAGAAGAGATAATGACAGCATTGCATGTTCTTTGCTCATTTATTCCTTAAATATTGAAAGCTACACTGAGAACATTTTGCACTGATTTTAAACTCTTTGGTTCATGGGAAACATGGAACAACTAATTCACCTAGAAAGTTAGTCTGGAGATATGCATTGCACTTCATCATTGTGCATATTAAAAGGAGAAGACAGCCGTAAGAAAAATGCCAATACCTGTATTTGGGTAGTCTTTTTTCCCCCCAACCTGAAGATTATAAAAAAGAGTTCAAGTTTTCTTTTCTCTGAACTCTTCATCAGACTAGGTGGTTAACAAGCAAAGAAACAGGGTGGGGAAAGAGAAGATAGTGGCTGATGTTCTAAAGCCTTGGAGTCTACATTTAGCCGCAATGTTAAGACGGAGTGTGGGAGGAGGATGGAGCATTCTAATTAGGCTCTCTCAAGTGAAGTTATGGTTTTAAATTCCATCTCAGACTATCTCTGGCAGTGCTGGGTTGAAGAAACAAATGCTAATTCTATATATTTGAAAATGTTCACCTGTTACTTGGAACAGTCTCTATTCTTTAGGCAAAACACGCAGTGTTTGTAGGAGGAATACAGAAGCAGTATATATACTTGAAACACTTAACAATGATTTGACAATGCTTCCTGCATCTGATGGAGTGGAATATAGTCCATAACAACTTCAACCAGAATAAGTGTGTTTGTCATGGGGCCTCAAGAGTCATTGTTTTGCTGCAGTAGGCCAACCTGCTTGTCCTTGTAGACCCAGGGACAGCTGAAGGATGGAAGTAGGAAAACATTGGCTCAATAGAGAAAAATAATTGCAAGTTGCCAGTTTGATCCATGAGAGCTGGAAATCCAAAACCGATAAGATTGTAATGGTAACAAGGCCATGCAAAATAGTGAATTTACCAGGCCTTTTCTTTGCCCAGCTAGTACTATTTTAAGAAGTCTCCTATAGTCCCAGGAAAGATAGTCAACTGCTGCTGCATCTGACCTAGCAATCGATCAGACTTTGGCAAAGATTTTACAAGTCATCCCAATTTAGCAAGGGAGATTGGTGGAAAATGGTGGAGATATGCATCCACATCCCTATTGCAGTGCTAATCTAGGATGTATGAAGTGAATGGCTGTGTGTTTTGATATGGGTAGAACTGGATCAGGGATATTTATTCATGCAACCATCACAACAACAACAAAAGTATTTTTGATTCTGCAGCATGTTTCTGAACATAAATGTAAACTAGCTGACATTTGTGTTTATTAAATAATACAGAATTTTGATTCAGCCACTAAAAAAACCATTAATGAGCATGATGCAGCTGTTTTACCAATGATTTAAAAATATTTTAAACCATTAAATCTTATTCCTTAATAGTACCATCTAATTGTAGCTCCTTAAATAGCCAGTAACATTGAATGCATCAATCAATAGAGAGGTTCAAAATGCATATACAAAATAATAATTTTAAAAGGCCTGCTAATTTATTTAATGGGTTTCAAGGTAAGCTTCCTTTTTAATTAAAAGCAAATGCTTGCTACGTGTGGATGAGGGTCATTTTCCGCATGCCACAGCACTAAGCAAACATGAATTTGCTGCTATGCATAAGATGGCAGGCAGCCCAACACAAAGCTGGCTGGACTATTCACTCGTATAGTGCTGATGCTATCTTTTCCACAGACAGGGAAATTCTGCACCTGGCCCTGTCCATTCACTATTATATATATATTAAAAGAGTAGAGTATTATCTGTGGTCTACCCCAGTGTCTGTGCAAGAATTGTGAAGAAACTGAACAGTAACAGTTCATGGTTCTTTCAAGCAAACTGGAATAAGCTATAGAATGCTGCAATAGGGCACACAGTGGTATCAGTTTTCTATGTCTGATAGCCAAATGCATTTGTAATAGAGG